CGAGGTGCTCAGGGGCTGCCGCAAGTGTTTGCTCAGGTGCCACTGCCTCCATTTGCGCTGCAGCTCCAGCTGGACCTGGGCAGAAAGGGCAGGAGATGCTCAGCGGGGGCTGGAGCTGCGCCGGGAGCAGCCCGATAGGGAAAGGGGAGCCGGCCGTCTCGCCTGGGTTTGGGTTTATGCACCGAGCCCCTTGTACGAGCGGGCCTGGCTCTCGTCCCTGCTCTGTTGCTGCACACTTTTCAGCTGACCTGTTTTTCTATTAGAAATGTTAATCGGTGTCAAAGCTGCTCACAGAGACTAGCTGGCCTTGGTGAGTGTCTGGGTTAGATTTTTCCGGGATTTTTATTTCAACCTTTTATTTCAGCCTTTCAGAGTGTTTCAAACCCACCTCTGTTTCAAAGTAACCTTTTCTTTCAAAAGATCTGAGGGTCTCACAGGCCTGGGAAGCGTTTCCCCCCAGCTGTAGTATTAGCAGCGTTTCAGAACACAAGCTCTAGTCTGGAAGAGTGAGTTACAACACGACAAGCATGGAAACGGTCCCTGTCCCACAGATTTACATGATAGATCCCAACAAACTGGACTCAACACAGCTTTTGATAAACTCCCTTCCAAGGATCAGAGAAAGCAGATGAGAGCTCATAGCTCTGTACATCAGATTTTTGGTGTGACTGTGCAGGACACTGTCTTTTTGGGACTTCCTGCTCCCAGGGAACAAATCCCAGGGATTCTTGAGGCATGCTTGCCCAGTAAAAGAGCGGGTGCTATCCACAGAACTCACCTCGCCATTCAGAAAACAGTAAAGTACAGCCACGACAAAGCCCTGCAAGACAAAAACAACAAAAAATCATAGATTTAGAATTGCAGTTCTGTTTTTTAAATTAAGTGGAGCTATTGCAAAGGGGATGGAGCAGCTTGAGTTTTGCCATGGCAGCTCTCTCGGGCTCCCTTTTTAAATATAATTTTAGGAAAAGAGCACAATGGCAAACGTTACCTGAAATGATCCAAGAGCTAATTCAAAAAATAGCTGAATTTCCACTGTGCCGCTACTTGCATCTTCAGGAAAAAAAGCAAAGATGATGTAGTGAATCCCAAAGAGCGGGATGAGGAGGAGGGTGGACTTGGCGAGTCTCCTGCAAATCAGAACACAGGGAAAAGTGGCTGTACAGTGGGACAGGCAGAATTAGGAAGAGGAGTTGGTGTTAGGAAAAGTGCCATGCAGAGAACATACTTGTACTGGTTGATATCCCCGCTCCTGCCTTCGGGAGAGCTGAGCTTCCTCATCAAAATTCTTAAAATGTTGACAAAAAGAATGAAGTTAATCTGAAAGGGAAAAGAAATGGGAAAAAAAAGAGCAGGAACTGACAGGAAGAGTAACA